TGTAAATTATACTGGATAACATGAACCTGAAATTATTGTTGGTCAGTATAATTAACGTCGAGAAAAGGCTTAGACATGGCAGACATTCCGGTAAAAATTTACTGGGTCATACAAAAACTCAACTCTATTATAATAACTATCCAGTATAACATACTGAGAATACACAAGTATGGTTATATAGTTGAGTTTTTGTTTCATCCAGTTATAATATACGGACATTCACCTGTTATGTACTTTTTTTCGATAGTATTATACTGGAGGAGTTGAGATTTGGGCTAGCATTAATTAGTGAACGTTTGTTTCAATCCAAGATATATACAGGACAACTATGTTACGCCAATTATCAAATTCTTAACAACACATTAATATGGAAATTTCTAGTTAATGTATGCCCCCAGAGATCGCGCACAAAGCTTTGACATCGCAGAAAAATTCTTAATATTATCAAAAAAACAATGTGAAAAAATTAGAAGAATTTTTAATTAGCAATGATAAAGGAAGGATTTTTGGCTATTGACAACGTAATGCTTATTATATTGAAAAAAATTAATATTTATGATTTTTTCTGACATATTAATGTATTTTTTTTAGCAGCTGGTTTTGTTGATGTTGGGGAAATCCAGCATGATCGAAACAATGGTTGAAATTGTGATTTTAGAGACGTCATAAATTAACAGTGAGCTTTGTAAGCAATGCAAGAATGAAGATATTCCAGCTTCAGAGTTGATAAAAATCATATCTATGATGATCAATCATAAATTGACGGAGCTGACACTCAAATGATTTGTCAGATTCATAAATAAAACTTCTGAGTTTGTTATGAAGTCGCATAGGTGTTCTTCATATAAAAACAACTATTTCAAATTCTAACATGAAGATCTACACTTCTTCCTTGCCCAATCATTCAAGTTGTGAAGGTTTTCGAAGCTTATGAGATTTTTGGAACAACTCTCCTAGGAGAAGATGACAACAAACTTGAAAAAACACTGCTTGTATCGTGTAATTTGAAAGGTGATAAACCCTTTAAAATATTAATTACTGAAGAAATTCATCTATCAATTAGAGAATGAATCAATAAGTTTGTTGAGACAACATTGTCCTAACTAAAAGCGTAATTTACATATATTTACAATATGTTTGATGTGAACTGTTCTTGGAAATGATAGTTTGGACATTCTATTTATACTATTTGTTAAACTTTTTATGAAGAAGGGTTGACGAGAAAGATGTAACTGGAGGAAGAGTGTTGATCTTGGAGTTTTGAATTTTATAGCTAAGTAAAACATGGGTTTTGTAACTTCATTTTACTGGTATAGGAATGCAATTGAAACGGTATTGGAACATACATTACTTTTTTGTTTGTTTTAGAATAAATAATGTGTTCTGTATATTCGATTGATACTTGTTCTTTTTGAAGCATATTTGATGTTATATATCTCATTACCTCCGGAGAAAGCAAAATATGAAAACAAGGAGGACAACTCCAGACAATTTATTTCCATATTATCATTCAAGGAAGTGTACAGTAAATCGAATATGCATGACATAAGGTACCAAAAATGAGATTTTGGATTGACAAAGAAATTAAAGAGTATGTTCTTGGTTTTACTTTCTGGTAATACCCCTGGGTTTCCGCTTGGATTAGTTCTTGATGCATCAACTGTCAAAGAGGCATACATTGGGTGTTGGGTGTTCTATCTTCTGCATACTGGGTGCATATACATATAATTGACTCAATAAATCCTCAAGACATGTGCTGAAGTTCATAAAGCTTTTTGACTCAATTGTTGTAATGATACCATTGTTGCTACACTACTACTTTTATCAGCAAAGAAGTGAATTACAATGGATAAACAATTTTTTGGAAAAGAGGAGCTAAGTTAATCCATTTGCTATATTTAAGTGGATTAACTTGCCTCAACAGGAAAAAAACGTAATGTTTGCTATGTTTATCCTGCCCTTCTTAATATATTATCTTCAGTCATTATCGTTTATTGTTTAACTTATCTTCTTAATATGTGTTTTATATGTAGCGATGTGGTATATATTGTTCTGCATTTGCGGAGTATTTCATTGAAGCAAGGAGTTCCAGATGACAAGAACATGTTTGGGATCCTACACGTCTTACGATTAGATATGCAGCATTACTATACATTTATTAGTAAAAGAAGCAGTTGAATCTTTTGTTAGTGAAGATGAGTCTCACAGGAAGATAGATAAACCTTCTGTTTCACAAAGCGAAAGAGATTAAGAACAAGAAATAATTTTTGTTTCTCTTTCAGTAATTGCTACATACTTTTGGTATGAAATGCAGATTATTATTGCTACTTATTATATAGAATTAAAGACTATTTATGTGAAATTTTTTATGAAGGATACAACCGTTATATTACTAATGAAAGAAGTGCAAAATGTGGAAATTTGGTATCTAGAATAATAATACCGTAATTACTAATTTAATATTTGTATCTCTAGTAATTAACTGTAATTCACTGGAGATTTTTAGTGTAAAACCACATTCTGTATTTAATACTGGATGGCTCAATACTCCAAATTTTATGTTATTAGATAATTTGAACATATACTGGAACGAATATAATCGCAGTATATTATAATGGAGAAGTGGAACAAATAAGTGGAAAATATATGTAATTGAATAATTTTCTTGGAATTAATGAATTTAATACTTTAGTGTCCTGTATATATATTATATTGAGTTTGTTTGGTTCCTGTATATTTTAAACAGGAATCTCTTACCGGTTAAGCTTGGTTGCAGTATATTATATGGAAAACTAGCATCGTGTTATTCGTTGGTATATTAATATTTAGCGTCCTTGTATAATTACTGTGGAGTTTATATTGTAAAAACCACTATATCATGTAATTATTACTGGAAAATGAATATTGCTGAATTTTATCCATAATTCATTCCAATTTTTTATTACATGCTATAGTATTATGCTGGAATCGTACTCTGAGGAATATTAATCCAGTATATTATAATGGAGAAGTGGAAAATAGCTGGAAATTTGAGTGGTATATTAGAACCAATTTGCTGAAATTAAATTAATGTTAATTTTTAGTTTCCTGATAATTTGGCTGGGAGTGGTATATTAGTATAACCAACTATATCCTGTACATTAACTACTGGAATGGAATAATGCAAATTTTTCTTATCTATTATTCATCCAATTTTTATTACCTCCTAAGTACATGCTGGAAATCGCTACTCATGAAGAATATAATACAGAATTATAAATGAAGAAGTGGAAAAATAGTGGAAATTGTATCCAGAATAATTTGCTGGAATTAAATAATTTTAATATTAGTGTCCTGTATAATTTTACTGATTTTATATTTGTACAAAACACTATATTCCTGACATGTGTACTGCGAAATGAATATTGCTCATTTTTTTGAATCTATATTCATCCAAATTTTTTATTACCTCGTATATTATATGCTAGGAATCGCTTACTCATGAAGGAATATATTAATCCAGATATATTATAACTGGAGAAGTGGAAAATACTGAAAAATTTTCTGTAATGAGAACAATTTACTAAAATTAAATATTATATTTCATTCTGATATATTTACTGGGAGTTTTATATTGTAAAACCACTTATATCTGTAATTTTACTATGGAATGAAAATAATGCATATTTTTTTATCCTATTACTCATCCAATTTTTATTACCTTGCTATAGTACATGCTGGAATGGTACTCATGTTAGGAATATAATCTCATATATTATAATGAGAAGTGGGAATAATAGTTGAACATTAGGTTTAATACTTAGAAACATTTGTGAATTAATAATCTAATTTTTGAGTTTCCATGTATAATTTGCTGGAGTGTTAATTGTATTAACCACCTATATCCTGTAACTTTACTACGCGAATGGAAATAATGCCAAAATTTTTTTAATCCTTATATTCATCCAATTTTATTACCTTCCTGATACATGCTGAATCGTATCATGAAGGAAATAATACAGAAATATAATAATGATGAAAGTGGGAAAAATTAGTGAAAACTTGGTATCCAGAACATATTGCTGGAATTTAAATTAATTTAATATTTAGTGTCCATGTATTAATTCTGGAGTTTATATTTGTACAAACACATATATCCTGTAAATGTTACTGGAAAGAATATTGCTCATTCTTTATATCCTATTACTTCCACATCTAATTTTTTAATAACCTCGCCTATATTCATACTGCTCGACACCATCGCTATCTAGAAGATATAATCCAGTATATTATAATGGAGAGTGGAAAATTACTGCAAATTTTGTAATTAGAACAATGACTCACAATTAATAGATTTAACTCATTTCGTTCCCTGTAATTATACTTGGAGTTTTATATTGTAAAACCACTATGATCCTGAATTACTCACCTGGGAATGAAAATAATGCAGATTTTTTTATCCATATACTCATTCCATTTTATTACTGCATAAGTAATGGCTGAATTGGCTTACTCATGTAGGACAATTATAATTAGAATATAAGGAATAAGTGTATAAAATAGTTGAAATTTAGAGTAATTAGAACAATTGCTTTGGAATTAAAATAATCTAATTTTTAGTTTCCGTGTATCAAATATTACTGGGTGTTATATTGTAAAACCAACTATCATCCGTGTAGTTACGACATTAGTGACATTTTTGTAATCAAATCAAGAAAGCAAAGAAAAAAAATACACAGTATTAATATTTTGAAAAACAAAATATGAATATATATTATTCGGATTACATCAGCCCAATGCAAGTTTATGTATATATTCAATCATTTTTTTCCTATTATTAATGTCTTGATAAGGATGAACTACAGTAAGAATTTGGTGCAATTTTGTTCTGTATGCCCATATTTTTTGCAACGACTACATTTCTTGGTTCCTTTTTAATTCTGTACGGAAACATGTCGAATTCTTCTGTTTCTTCCTAGCAGTATACTTTGGCAGCTGGAGGCTTAGTGATTCCGGATTAATTAGTGTCTGGTATAACCCATGTGTTGCATCAACCTTACAGATTTTACTTGCCCTTCATACGTTTCAACCAAAAGTCCCTTGAAAAACCTAAGGTGAGCAAAGGCCGATTTCTTTTGATGTATACTCTCAATTGCAGCAATTGCATGTTCACATGGCATTTCATCTAGCTGAAATTCAGAACAATCACATGTTCTTTTGTCTAGATCAACAATAAATTCCATACCACCTTCTTTGACATTGAATTTGAGTCTATCAATGGGCAATACTCTAAATATAAAAGCTGGTTGAATTTTTGCTTCCAATGTTGCTTCTGCCCAATTTGATATATCACGGAATATTCCTTCTGCAAGTGTCCTTCTTTCATAGAACCAGCTTTGCAATTTTTCTTGTATGAAATCCATCATTGTTAAAATTGGCAATTCTCTTGAACGTCTTAAAACATTATTCATTGACTCAACAATATTTGTTGTTAACATATCATATCTTCTTCTGGGACAATGTGAACGAGCCCACCTTCCTGGCGGTTCCTCCATCAAATAATTGAAAGTTTTCTTATCAACAGCAGCTATTTGGGACATGAAGTCATCAAATTCTGATTGAAGGTATACTCTTGCAGCACTTTGAAAGAGATTTATCACAGTGTTTCTCACTCTTCTTTGCTTCAGATTCTTTTCTAAATGATAGATGCAAATTCCATGCTAGCACTCAGGGAAAACCTTTGCAATTCCATTTGCAATAGCCTTGTGTCGATCTGACAAGAACATTAAATCATTACGAATCCCAATTGCTTTTCTTAATTCCCTGAAATACCATTCATATGATTCATTATTCTCTTTATCCACTACTCCAAAAGCTATAGGAAAAATCTGGTTATTTGCATCTTTGGTAACACCCACTAATAGAACACCTCTATATTTATTTTTTAGAAATGTTCCATCAACAGCAATTAGTAGTCTACAATACTTCCACCCAGAAATTGATGCCCCATACATAAAAAATATGTAAACAAACCTGTAAAAAGAAAAGTAAATAAAATTCAGTTAACTTACACAGTATAATATACTGGAGATAAAGCTCATGCCACACGTCCTGTAAAATTTACGGGCATCAAACAAAAATTAACTATTTTATAATATTCTTCCAGTATAACATACTGGAGTTCCATTAACATCCAGTATAATATACTAGATAAAATAAACTAAAAATACAAAATTTTAGGTTGCACAGAACTCACCCAGTATATTATACAGGACAAAAAGCTTATAAAATACAGATATCCTGTAAAATATACTGGATGACAACCACTAACATCCTGTATAATATACTCTACAAAATCAAATACAATAGATTGAAGAGAAGTCACCCAGTATAATTTACAGGAAAGAAAGCTTTTACAATACACACGTCCTGTAAAATATACGGGAAGACAAACACTAACTTCCTGTTTAATATACTGCACAAAATGAAATAAAATTGAAATACATAACTTAATATTTTGTTTCCTGTATATTAAACTGGAGTTATATACTGCTAAACCACTATGTCCCGTATTTAATAATGGACATAAAAAATCACTCAAAAAAAGTAATAAATAAAAAGAACTCATCCAGTATAATTTACAGGAAAGAAAGCTTATACAATACACACATCCTGTAAAATATACTGGACGCAACCACTAACATCCTGTATAATATACTAGACAAAATAAAATACAATAGATTGAACAGAACTCACCCAGTATAATTTACAGGAAAGAAAGCTTATCATAAATAAGAAATTCCTGTTTTCTTCATCTCTCACAATATTTGTATATGATCCTGGATTTTTTTGTTCCATCATATACAAATATGATGGCAGCTGCTCATAATTGTGTTCAGTTGTTCCTCTTAACAAAGATAACCCCTTTTGAATAGCATGCCATGCTTTTCCATAACCAACATCAATTCCATGTGCTTTTCCTTAACAAAGATAACCCCTTTTGAATAGCATGCCATGCTTTTCCATAACCAACATCAATTCCATGTGCTCTTTTCATCTCTGAAATGATAAACTTAGGTTTTACCTCAGTAGCTATGTCTCTTAAGTTGTCAATCACGTAATCTCTAATCACATTTGAAGTTGCTTGCCTTTGATCTGATTTTCGAATATCAACTGAGCACTCATGTGTTCTCTGAAATTTAACTATTTTAAAAAGTGTTGATTCCTTAATTCTTGAACCTCGAACAGTCCAAGTACACTTTTTATCAGTACATACCAAAGAGTATGTCGTGTTACTTGACCTGTTAACATAGAACTCAAAATGCTCCTTTATAGCTGCTAAGCAAAAACATCTAATCATGGCATTTTTATCTTGAAAAACAGAACCAAGTTTTACATCATCCAGTGATGCATTTTCCTTCAATATTATTGATGGAGATTCTTTTGCCTTTCCTTTTCCTTTCCTTTTTCTTCCTTCAATACTTTGTAGTGATTCAATGTGCTGATCTTCCACAGGAATAACAATTTCTTTTTCCATTGTAATATCATAAATTGGATTCTCCTGCTCTTCTTCAACTTGAGATATCAGCAACACTTGCTCTTCCGGACCATATGTGTTTCTGTGCAATAACTGTTGATTATCAATTTCCATTATTGCATTACCTTCTAGTTGTTGATCTGGTTTTTCTGATATTTCAACAACAAATTTCGAATCTTTATAGTATGGATCATTTTTTAAAAGAATCATACACATAATAAGATCTTCATCTTTTGTCACTTCTATTCCCTTAGAAGTACCTAGGTTGATATTAAGCCATACATTTGCTTGAAACTTTTTGTTGTCAAGCTCTATAACTTCAAAAATTTTTCTAAGGAATTCTTCAAATGAAGTCCCATCATTTACAGGAGGAGCTTCGTTTTATGATCCAAGTACTTGTAATCTGCTGTCCATTTGCCATCGAACACAATAATCAAGAAATTTGTATGCATCCTGTATTTAATGAACCCAAATAATTAGATATCTAGAAATTATACTGTTTAAAAATATAATATTCATCCAGTATAATATACTGGAGAATAAGCTTACATACATGTGATGTCCCGTAGAATATACTGTATTAAAACAAAACTCAATTATATTCTAGTCTTAGAACTTATCCAGTATAACATACTGGAGAAAAAGCTTAGACACAGGCGATGTCCCGTAAAATATACAGGATTAAAACAAAACTCAACTATAATCTAGTCTGAAAACAGAATTCGTCCAGTATAACATACTAGAGAAAAACATTACACACAGGTGACATACTTTAAATTATTCTGGATTGAAATAAAACTCAACTATATTATAACATAATATCTACATTAACGAAACATACTTCAAGTGAATTACAATACATTTTTTTATGAGATTTCCAATATAATAAGCTGGAAACGTCCAGTAAATTATATTCTAGTCTAAATAGAACTCAACGATATGCTACTCTAAATAGAACTCGTCCAGTATAACATACTGGAGAAAATTTTAAACACAGGTGATTTCCTGTAAAATATACTGGATTGATATAAAACTCAATTATATTCTACTTTATGCAGAACTTACCCAGTATAACATACTGGAGAATAAGCTAACACACAGGTAATGTCCCGTAAAATATACTGGATTCAAACAAAACTCAATTATATTCTAGTCTTAGAACTTATCCAGTATAACATAAAAAATATTACACACAGGTGACGTCCCGTAAAATATTCTGGATTCAAACAAAATTCAATTATATTCTAGTCTTATAACTTATCCCGTATAACTTATTGGAGAATAAGCTTATACACAGGTGATGTCTCGTAAAATATACTGGATTCTATCAAAACTCAATTATATTCTAGTCTTAGAAATTATCCAGTATAACATACTGGAGAATAATCTTACACACATGAGATGTCCCGTAAAATATACTGGATTAAAACAAAACTCAATTATATTCTTGTCTTAGAACTTATTCAGTTTAACATACTGGAGAATATGCTTACACACAGGTGACGTCCCGTAAAATATTCTGGATTCAAACAAAACTCAATTATATTCTAGTGTTAGAAGTTATCCAGTATAACATATTGGAGGAAAAGCTTACACACACGTGATGTCCCGTAAAATATACTGGATTCAAACAAAACTCAATTATATTATAACATAATATCTACATTAACGAAACATACTTCAAGTGAATTATAATGCTTTTTTTATGAGATTTCCAGTATAATAAGCTAGAAAAATCTTCGCTTTAGATATTAATTTAGAAACGTGCAACAAATTATACTGACGCTATGTTCTACATTGAGAAAATTAGACAATAACACAGATTAAAGCATTAAAAACAAATCAAAAATTCGAAAAATTAAATTTTTTTACTGATACTTTGAATTTTATGGTTTGAATTATTGATCGTAGAAGAAATTTAAATAATTAGACAATTTTAGATAGAACTTACTTCGATTTGCAGATTGGCGACGGAAATTTTGCTAAAACTTCGATTTGCAGATTGACGCAGAACGATTTTGCTAACACTTTGATTTGCAAATTAACGCCGGAAGATTTTGCGAATACCTCGATTAACGCCGAAATATTTTGCTAATATTTCGATTTACAGATTGACGGCGAAAATTTTCCTAATAACTCGATTTGAAAATTAATGCCGAAAGATTTTGTTAAGTTTTGTTAAAAGAAGAATTTAAGGTGAAGTCGCGTAAATTAATAAAAAAATAGGGGTATTTTAGTCAACAAAATATTACCGCACTAAATTAGTGGCTAAATTTCGTTGACCGGTGATTATGTGGCTACATTTGATTGACCAGGCGAAAAACTGGCCATTTTTGGATTTTTCACAGAAAAAATGCCTAATTACCAGCAGGATGTAACTTCATAAATGCATGCCCTATGTCGATAACCTGCTGGATCAGGGGCGGATCCAGCGTCGCGGTTTCGGGTTCATTTGAACCCAGTATTTTCGGCACGGAATATAAATTTATGCAAACTTACACAAATGTCCCTAATAAATCTCAACTTACTAACCTCTACCCATTAGTCATAGACTTACCAAAACTAGCCAATAAAAATTAAAAAACCAAATAATAGGGTTCTTTCTCTCAAAGAATCACATGCAAAAATCACCTTCCATATTTTTAAGCGTGATTAGCAACATTAGATACAAGACGAAAAAGAAATTTCATGGACGGTGTAGCAAATAAGGTGATGAAATACAAAAATCTATACAATATTCCAAAAATCTAAACAAAATAGGAACTTTTTCAATGGGTATAGTTGAAATTCATTAAATTATATAGAAGTCAATATACAAAATTTGAGGAAGATTGGAGGTGATTTGGACTAGTTTTGTATCAAAATTCGTAATTAAATCGAGTTCAAAAAAGTCTTCTGCGACACATGTATCACACACACAGGTATACATGGATATACATGTGATACACAATTGATACAAATATGATACATATGTGATACACAAATGATACGCAATGTGATACACATATCATTTTTTTTCATGTTCAGCTTTTACTTCGAATTTTCAATTCAAACCACCTCAAAACTTCACCAAATCATCCCAAAATCGAGATTCAAGCTCCTTAAGTTGTGCCCAATCTATTCTAATAACACTCACTCAAAACAAAGCAAAAATTTGATATTTTTTTTGCTACAAATAGCTAATTGGCTAATTTGGCTAATATTAGTAATATTTTATCAATTGGCCAATTTTTGTAATGAGCAATTTATAAATGGACATAGCTGGTAATTTCCCTAATAATTATCTAAAATAGGAACAAATTGTAGATATAAATCCATAACTTTAACAATATAACGTGTTCAATACTAAATTTTTTAAAGATTGAACCTATAAAGTTCAAATTTTTGATCCACCTCTATGCTGGATATAACTTTATGGGACCTGTGATCGAGTTTATATATATCAAATTGGGAGATTCTGATACTCATTCATGTGATGAAGCTGGTATAAATCATCTATTATTAGGAGCATTAGTGTCATTGATCTGAACTCAACAACTCTAGGGACCTTTCTTTTTCCTTTTTGAACTGTAGGGACCTGCATTTCAAATTTTATAATGAAGTACTACAAGTGAGTTTTTAGCCAATATTGTTCCTCAACTATGGAAGTAGGTATATTTTTATCCCTTAAATATACCCTCATAATATACAAAAATGACCCATTTCTAAATTTGATAACAATTTTGCTTAAATTTACAATTCTACCCTTAATGAGAAACTTTTATAACCACACAAATAATCTGGGCCCCTTTTTGACTTATTTAGGACCACAAATTCCAAAAGTCTTCATTTTTTCTTAAACTCCGTGCCCAGTCAAACAGGTTCACGTAAATTGGAACGGAGGGAGTAACATTTGAAATAAAAAAAAGAGTTGATTCATTATTGAATCCAAAAAATAACCTGCTAGTTGCCTCTTGCTAATTAGCAAGGCAACCCTTGGGTCTACTCTTCTTATATATTTACTTTAGTGATCCTTACTCTATCCTATCAGATTTGGCTTATTTGACTATTGTTCATTAGAGTTTTTGAACAGATTACTATATATATTGAGTTTAAATAGAGAAGTCTTCAAAGTTCACGTAATTATGTTTGAAATAGCATAAAGGAATACTCAATCTTGTACAAACTAATACTTACATTATTTCAAATTTAATGTCTTAATTAGTTTGAATTTGTATGAGTACGAAGAACCGTGTTAAAATTATCTAACCATCCAGAAGTTGAAGTATACGCTTTGTTATGATCAATTAGTATAAACTTGTTTATTTTTCTAAAATATAAGAGTAAAATAAGTAAATTTTATGTCAATTTTGAAGGTTACTCCTTTGCGGAAGTTCTTGCTACCAATAATATCATCGTCGAATGTGATTCTTTACCAAACAGCAATCGAATAAATGCTGAAAATTAGGATCAGTCACTGCACATAATTGAAGATTATTTGCAGGTACTGCATATATTTTGGTAAATCGCCTAGGTTCTCCGTTCTTTTTGAATGTGTATTGATGTGTGGCTATAATTCATAGTTTAGCACATTATGTGCCTTGCATTTTACATGCTTTAATGATAAATTATACTTTGTTTGAGCGTAATGGAGTCTATTTTATGTGTAGGTGAATTGGAGATGAAAGTAGAGCTAAAGGGATACTTAAACGTCGAAAGTGCGCTCGAGAACAGTGAAAAGGAGAAGCTAGTCAAAAGCCAACTCAACCAGGCTTTAGCCTGGCGAGGCCAGCTTAAAGCCAGGCCCAACCAGGCATTAGCCTGGCGACGCAAGCTTAAAGCCAGGCTGAGGCTGGCGTTAGCCTGGCGACGCCAGGCCTAAGGCCAGGTCCAGTCCGAGTTTTGAAGGCTTAAATTGTTTCCCGGCTTGACTAGGAGTTGACCTACACGTTAGGGCTTGTCCCAAACATATAAATAGACCCCAAAAATGCCACTTTGAAGGACTTTTGGAACCAGAGGCAAGAATAGCTCGTGGAACACCACTTGGGAGTTAGAATCATCGATTTCTACATCCTTTATCTTTACTCTGTAATTTAATTATGCAAATTACTTTGGATATTGTTACTATGAGTATG